TTCGACAGACTCAGTAGAGACTTCTAGAACAGGCTTTCTAGGCCTATTGGTAACAGACCTAGCTGCTAATCTACAGACCTAGGGATCAAGTCCTACTGACCAAACTACAGACTAACCTAAGTCGTAGGGCAGGTTTGGGGATCGAATCCTACTCAGGTCACGGGGTCTATCTACAGGTACAGGGTAGGTCTAGGGATCGAATCTCACTCAACACACAGGGTCAATGTACAGGGTTAGGGCACAGGTCTAGGGATCGAATCTCTGTGACTGCAGTACAAGGTCAACTGGGTGAAACCGTTTCAGAGATGCTCCGCAATCAATCAAAGCGCTGCAGGTCGCCTCTCCGATCTGAATGCGTACATATGGCAATGGTGTGTCGATGTCGTCGTACCGTTGCGTCTTGAACTTGCGGTCAATCTTCGCAATGTAGGCGTGAAGGTCGACAACCTCTACTCCGGCGTCCATCAACGGAGTCGGTACTGCAATGTGTAAGTAATCCCGCAGTTGTGCCATGAGCGCATTGCAATGTGGTTTCGCCAATCGTTCGGTCGAGGGAACGGACATCCATTGGAAGTCCGTGAACTTCAATGGGTCGAGCTCTTCAAGTCTTGACCATGACGTCGAATCCCTAGCGATAGATGGTGGCGAAGCTGCTGAATCGGTTGCCGATGGTGATGAAACCGTGCATGCGGTTGATTGTTGCACGTGGAACGGTTGGTCCAGCGGTGGAACCAAGTGGACAGCATAGTCCTCGTAAGTGTATCGAGAACTTACGACATTCACATCCTCCCCAGATGTGCAGGAGGTCGCTAGCAAGGCGGCCGAATCTGGCTGAGTGGAAGGTGTAGTCGCCTCACCTCCCGCGAAACTCAGTTTCCCGAGTTGAGACGGTGTCGCACATCCTCCTTGGCCTGATCTTGGCAAAGGGAGGTCTTGTGCTTGGTGTTGTTGCACCAATAGCTGCAGCCGTAGCGGCCGCGGTACTTGTACTCCGCCTCGGTCAAGCTAAACTTGACCCATGGTGTTGGCTGTCCATTTCCGGCTTGCGATGCTGGTTTCGCCTTCCCATTGTTCCGGGACTTGTTGTTGCTTCGAGGCTGGACAGCAGCCACCTGATCTCCATCACGTGATGCTGGAGTGGCTGCTGGGTGTCTCCACTGTCCGATTGGACTGCAGCGAAGTGATGCGGTCGCGGACCAGTCTTTACCTTCTCCACATAGGTCGGTTGCCACGTTGATTTCTCGTGTGCAGCTGCCCTGTTGGTCTTGATGATCTCTCTCGCCTTGTCAATGATCTCGGCGAAAGTGGTATACTGCTCGCGATCACCAAGTGCCTGGCTCAGCGCAACACATGACCTGGTGGTCCACGATCTTCTGCCATTCCGTGAGCCAGTCATGTGTTGCTATGTTTCCCTGAGACATGGTGAAGAGACGGTTGATGGCGAGTGCTGGTGCGTCGTCGACGATGAACCGCTTCTTCCACAGCCGTGTTAACTCTTCCCATGCAATCTTGCCAGGTGGGTCAACCTGGTTTGGCATCCGCTCTTTGAGTTAAGGAACAGGGCGCCAATGTACGTGTGCTTGGCAACAGGCAGAATCCGCAGTTGCGTCGTGAATGTTTCCCACCAGAGGACCGGATCCTGATGTGTGTAGTGGTCGAACTTTTCCAGTTGGAAAGTTGGCATCTTGTACAGCTTTGGATTGCCATCCGAGTTCGTCGACTGCAGTTGTTGGACCTCAGTCTTCAACGTGTCCAACTGGCTGCTGATGGTGGTTGGCGCCGCAAAGGTGCTGATGTCGCCCAGCATTGCCACTACGTGGTCAACGCGTTCCTCCAATTGGCGGCTAGAGGGTGAACTACTGGAAGCCCCAGCATCTGGTCCTGGTACAGCCTGTTCCACGTCCAGTACACGGGAATTGAGTGCCCGTGTTGCATCCTCGTGGCTCTGCACTATCCGGCGGAGGTTCATCAACTCCTGGTGTTGTGTCTTCAGATCCTCGTACTGTTGCTGCAGTTCCTGGTCCTGTCTCTCTAACTCGGACCGTTGGTAGTTGCAAGCATACAACAACCGTGTCAAGAGTTCGGAGAGGAACTCCTTATGCTGCTCTTCCGGTGTTGCGTCGTCGTCATTCGGTTCAAAGTGCCAGAACTTGAGTCTCTCAATGTTGTTGGCTTCATGCCGCTGCAGCAGATCCTGGGCTTCCTTGTGGCGAGTCTGGGCATCTGCATCTGCTTCGGCCTGTAGCCGCAGCTTCTCTGCTGTTGCCGCTGCTTCAGCCTTTAGGCGGGCAGCCTCGACTGACAGCTGGCGTTGTTCCTCAGCCTCGATGAAAGCGAGTTGAGCCTGGAAGCGCCGTTTGTAGTCGGCAATGGACTCATTGGCCAGTTCGTCTGGCAGGCCCATTGCTGGACCCGTCATGCTGACGTGGCACTGTGACTGACGTGGCACTGCTGACGTGGCACTGCTGACGTGGCACTGCTGACGTGGCACTGCTGACGTGGCACTGCTATCGTGGCACTGCTGACGTGGCACTGTAGCTGACATGGCATTGTGGCTGACGTGGTACTGTACCAACTTGGAAATGCATGCAAAGGGTGGGTGGGGAGGGAAAACACAGCTAGGTAACCAACCCAACAATACTTTCCTCCCGGCCCTAATCAACAGATAAAAAAATAAAATAAAAAAATAAAAGAGGACTACTTCCTTTTTTTTTTTTTTTTTTATATCTCTCGATCTATTATGAGTGAGACATGTCAAAAGAGCACTATGAACGAGCTCCAGGCTAGGTTCCGCAAAGTTTCGGCTTTCACAAAATGCGATATTGAAAAAAAAAATTGTGAGGTAGAATAGAGATGCGATTTTCAGAAAAGAACTAAATCCCGTTTCTGAGAATATGGCAACCTCCGAATATGCCTATCGAAATGTTGGTAGGCTTCGCAAGATTTCGGTTTTCAAAAAAAATTTGCGAGATAGAATGGAAATTCGATTTTCAGAAAAGAATAACTCCAGTTTCCGAGAATATGACCACTTCTATYGTTATCCCAATATGCCTAGAAAACGAAATACTAACATCAGAAATTTTCAGCTATGTATGCGAAATATCAGAGAAACGAAWTGCTACTATCGGGAATTTTCAGACAAAACGAAATGCGATTTATCAGAAATTTTCAGATATTTCTTACGTAAAAACGAACTACTAATATCAGAAATTTTCAGGTAAAACGAAATGCGAATATCAGAAATTTCAGATAGTTGTTGCGAGAAAAAATTTTCAGAGATTTGACGGAGTCCTACTTGATTTACTAACGAGTAATCGATAGATCAAGCAAGCTGGCTATTTGATTGAGCGGGTCCTCTGAATGAGAGGTCCGCTCCGATACCAAACTGTTGCATACCGTAACGGTGCAGACCAGAACAAGAACCGACCTCTGAATACAAAGTATAAGATAGCACAGCGGAAGACTTAGATACCAATGATCCGAACAATCAATATTGCAATGCAGCCCTGAACATACATCATCATCAT